AGCAACATTCAATCTAAACCTGCCCTAAAACTGTCTCCTTGTCTCCCTCGGGTCTACTTCTTGTTAGATACTTGCACAGTTCACAGCCTGGCATTGTGTCACAGCCCTTCTCACAAAACAGCAATACCTCCAATGTCTGAACAATGTCATATGAAGGTCAAGAAATTGCTGAAGCCTGAACACAATTACTCATTTACCCTTATAAACACAATTTTCTTTTAATAGATGACGGCAGTTTTGTAGACACATCCACGCAGCTCTACATTAAACATTTTTTAAACTCAGGTTTCTTCCTTCAAACACTGCCAGTTATTCCAAATATTGTAGCATATAGACCCTAAACCATGATAAAAAAGCAAAGAGAAGAGAGTACAACTACATAGCATGCAACTGTGTAGAATAACAACAGTCTGAATCTTAAAACTCTCCAGTAAGATTATTAAAAGATTATTTTGGAGAAGTGTGTTGCCCTGGTTTTGGCTTGGATAGAGCTAATTTTCTTCCCTGCAGCTGGTATGGTGCTATGTTTTGGACTTAGGATGAGAACAATGTTAATAGCATGTCAGTGTTTTTGTTGTTGCTGAGCAGTACTTACACTAGGTCAAAGATGTTTCAGTCACTTGATTCAATGCCAGCAAACCTGGGCTGATGCAGCATATTTCAAAAAGGCACAGTTCCGTATCTAATGGCTTTTATAGGAGTCATATAAATATCTGGAACTTGACCTCTCATGTATGTAACTGTAACTGCAAAAAACAGTTACTGACATAATGAAAATAATTATTCAAACTGCCTGAGTCACTTGTTGACAGAGAGGTTAATTCAGTTTATGCACTTTTCTGAGTATAACCTGAACCTAAATAGTGATATAATAATTAAAACAATTACAGTAACTACATTTCAGGAAACCTGGCTCTGTTCTCAGATCAGAATAGCAGAAGCTTCTTGTTGTCTGTAACTACTAACCAAATGAACATCCACAGATCTTTGCAATAAAATTTGTTTTACTTCTATGTCAGACTTGATGTCTCAGAAAAGTTTACGTCTTTAAATGCTTCTGCGTGCATATAACTAAGATGACAGTTCAGCAAACTTACGGCACTATAACAAAAAAACAATTGCATTAACAATAACAGTGCTTCTGATCTAAGATTTAGCACTCCACTCCTGAGGGAAAGCAATGGGCATTTGGTTGTACTGAGTATATCTACTTGATGTCAGGTCTGCGGGAAAATCCTCAGCAGCTTTTTAACTGATCCTCTGATTACAGCAGAAGTCTGTAGAAGACTGGATGAAAACATTTGGGTAAATTCACCAGAGTCAGTTCAAAGATAATAATGGTATTATATCAGCAAAACTCAGAATACTTTACAAAATAAATATTTGTGCTTCCAGCAAGAGAAACAGCTAGTTTCCAAGTAATAAGAAACATTGCAGCAGGTCCAAGGAACAAGTTGGAGTTAAACCTGCATTCTCTTCATCTGTTTTTACAGTATTAGTCCCAGATTCTACATGATCCTTACAAAGAGCTCACTGAAACAAACAGCAAGATCTCACAGAGAGAAAAGCTTTGAAGCAAATCATACACACAGATCTTGAGAAAGAACTCTTTGAATTGAGCAACAAACAGAATTGAGCTAACACTGGGAGTAAAGCTCTCTATTCCAGCAGAGAATCGTAAATTCATTCATTGACTGTCAACTAACTGTCAAAATGTTTCACCACCCTTGAATGCCAAAACTCAGGTATTACCAATTACAAGCTTTCTGGAATAGTTACTTAGCTAGAGCAAATGTAATTCAGTGAAACACTGCTAATTTTACACTTCCATTGGTTTACATTACAATTGACTACAGCCTCAAGTCATTCTGTTGACTACCTTTTTACGAGGTCATGGGCATGCTCCGTTCCCATTGAAATCTGAGAGGGTTGACAGTGTTTATGCTCTCTCAAGAATGTGTTCTATATGATTTGCAAAAGATGTGTATAGCTTTTTAATAATAAAATATGTATGTATACTGGTCTTCTAGCATTTTATTCTCAATAACATGCTCTAGGAACTGGAGATGATATTTCTCTTTTCTTTGCTTGCTGCCCTGCCCTATACTGAATCTTTCCACATTCAATCCAATAACCTAAAAAATTAACCAAAGAATAACGAGAGTTTAGAAACTGATGGCATAAAGGATTTTAGACTATGAACCACAACACATGACTTTTGTCCCTTAAACAGTTTTGTTCAATAAAATGAAATTACAAACAAGTGACACAGGATTTTCTTTTTCTCCCTGTTTTCCATTAGAAAACAACCAGCTCAAAGAAAAAAATACTAATATTGCATTATCTACTTGACAAGAATGCCAGGAAGAAACAGCATGATTTAAGTCCTGAAAATATCCTGATTTGCGAAATGCTTCGTTCCATTTTAGACTCAGTTATCAATGATTCTACGTTCATCATCTATTACTCTTGTAATTGTTGATGACTGTGAACGTCATTCAACTGTGTTCTAAATCATGAAACTGAGTGTTTTCTATATGGTTGGAATGGAGTTAAATTTCTTTGTAACAGCCCATATGATATAGCGTTTTGGATTTGTTACTAAAACAGCGCCAATAACACACCAGTGTTTTATTTATTTGTAAGAAATACTTGTACAGCATTGAGGTTTTGGTTTTTTCCCAGTTTTCCCCCTCAGTGTCAGCCAAAAGTGGGCAAAAATTTGGAAAGGATTATAACCTGGACAACTGACCCAAACTGACCAAAAGATTATAAAGCTGTAAAAAGTCAAGTTCAGATGAAAAATTGAGGAAAGATGACCTGGGGGATGCAAGCACTGGTCATAGACAGTCTAGTCCTATCTGCCTGCTTAGGGGGGATGGTGAATCAATGCAACCTTGGTTTAGGCATTTTCTTTCTCTCTTCATTCTTCTGTTTCCCAAATTTTTTTGTCTCAAACCACAAGTTTTCTCTTTGGGTGGGGGCCAACGACTGAACAGCTGTTAGCTGGGGCCAACTCACCAAATGAGATTTAAAAAATAAATTCACATCAACTACATGGACACTCCCATATCATATCAGTCTCCTGCAGCTACTGGTTTTGCAGTATACCATACCAACGCTAAAGCTCTGTTTTCCTCCTCTGAGCAGTTCGGAATACTGAGACACCCTGATACCTAAGAAACAAGAGGGCCTCAGAGCTGTATTAAGATCAGCATTGCCTTAGGTGAGACTGTAAAACAGATCCCTAAGTTCTTTTTAAAGCTTTTAGAGAGATTTGAATATATAGTTGGAAAAAAAGCTGTGGGCATGTAAGTTGGCACTGCTCCCTTTTGAGTGGAAATACCCCGTGTTAGTGAGAGATTCACTGATGGGCACAGATGGTTTAATAGAAAATGAACAAGACAACTATCAATTTCCATGCCTGCAATTCTTTTTTACACTGCCGTTCCTCATATGGCTCCTTGACTTAACGGAACAGGTTACACAAGGCTTTAAGGAAGATGCCACAGCTGTGCTAAGAAATAGTGCAATTTCCATTTAAAATTTTCTGAATGTGTAATTTTCCAAGGCTTTAGTCCAAGATTTTCTCTTCCTACTGAGAAAATCTTACCATTTTACTGCCTAGGTATTAGTAGTTCAAGCTAAGTATACATTTCCTGACCCTAAAAACAATTTCAAATTTTGTATTTCATCATCTTTTTAAGTGATCAGAAGTAGTCAGTAGTTTTACTATACAGCTTTTCATCCGGCCACACTACTATTTAATCACTGAGGAAAGTAATAAGTTAAATCTGACACTGGTGGAATACCAAAGAAATTGGGTCTCATAGTTAGCAACGTTAGCCTAGTTTAAATGCTGCTGTTGCTCACCACTGGAAAAGGCATTGCTCAAATTTTTAGAAGATATTTATGAATATTTAAAATCCCTTACTCATATATTGAAATGCAAATTGTTGCTGCCAGGTTACAATAATCACCTCAAAAGACTGCACTATAGATTGCAAATATTTGCTCCAATTTTGGAAAAATATTTATTAGCAATGGATCCTGTAAGCTGTACTTTTTTTTTCTTTTTTTTTTTTTTCTGTTGGAATTCCTTCAAAGGTTTACAAATATTTGTGACTTACTGCTGATTTTTTACTCAGTGCCAAAAAAAACTCTGAATGCTTTGCAGATTAAACACACAGGCATTTTCTATGTGAGCTTATAACTCAACTGCAGGGTAATAAATGGAAAGACCAAATAATAGATCACAGGAAATATTAATATTCCTACTGAGTTTAGCAATAAGTTCAAAATAATGGGCACTATGTACTGATTAAGTTGCCTTTGAGGTAGACAATATATTTTGCACTAGGAAATGTACCATGCAAGATAGAAAGTACCTCAGAGAAGTGAAAGGGGCAATAGCTAATCACACCTTTTGGTTAATCAATTTCAAAAATCTGCTCCACAAATCTTTAAGTTAGTCCAGTGTACCGTTGCTTGAAAAACTGATCAAAAACATGAAACGCAGCAAGTTCTTAAGAAAGGTCCCAAGTCTAAAATTACATTTTCCATTACAGTCTTCTAATTTCCGCAGTTTTAAAATACACATTTTGAATATACCTCTAGGGGAAAAAAAAAAATAACAGATAAGCAAATCATGGATTGCTTTTCTCCTTCTGAAACAATACAGACTACACTTACAAACTTCCTCTTCGTTCTTCTGTGAACATTTCATTGTAAAGTCACAGAAAATGGACATTTCCCTCCTGAAGCTGATCACAGATTACTTTTCTCAGAGCAATTCCGTACCGTTTTCATGCCAGTTGAATCCTCAACAATGCCATGCTGTGAGTTGCTGATTATATATCAGGTATGTATCACAGCTTGATGATTTCATAGCTCAGAGAAGCGCTCAACTAGGAAACATTTCAGTTACACTCCAGACTGTCACAGATGTCCAGACCAGACCCAACAGTTAACATCTAACACTCATTAGAAGAAACCCACATAGAGAGGTCCAGTAACATTGCTAAGATTTACAAATCAGAGTAACACAATGATAATTCTTTCAAGATGGAAATATTAATTGCTTCTTTTTGTCAGCTTCAGTTTCTGTTGTGTATTTATGCAATAACTTCTGAGTAAAGACTTGGTGTGTATCCAATCTGCATGCAGCCACTGATATAATTGTTCTCAATCCTGCTGTTTTCAACCATGTCTACAAAACAAGTACATAGTAAAAAGGGAACCATTCATTTTGCCACCAAAAAAAAAGGATTCACAGTCCTTGCAGAAAGGTGGTTTCAGTTCTAATAAATGCTTGCTATTGAGTTCTTTGGGGCTGAAATAGCTGCTGTAGATTTAATAGTGAAGTTTAATTCATAGTTAATAGTGAAGTTTAATTCATAACTCTGTTAATTGGTAACATACTGTAATATTCAACATCAACAGCTAACGTACATTTACTGCTGTATCTTTTTCAGATTCATGCAAGGGATGACAATATTAGCCTTCAAAATATTGTCCATATGCTCTTCAGGATCTAAACTGTTCTTCATGCTCATCAAAGTATATGGTTTGTTTAATTCTTAGCTTCTCTAGAAGTAGATTGGTCCAAACTGCTTTTCCCAAAAGGAGCAAAATCAGAGAATACTCTTCTATTCCAAGTACTAGCAAACTGCATCACAAACTCTCAGTTCTTCAGTGCACTCTTTTTCCAAAGACTTTTTCAGTTGGCTGTAACCTCTACTGAATTTTTCTTATTGAAAATTCACTTCAGGAATAACATAGAAATAGCTTGAAGAGATTTATACATTTTTATTTCTTCACCTTCTCTTAAGTGAAATGACCTAACACTGTAGCATTCTTTGTTATCAAAAAATTAAACACCTAATTACTTTTGATAGGGCTTTTGACCACAAATGTCATTAATTTCAGTTATCCCCATGCAAATTGCACTACATTGCAACTGTGCACAGAAGATTATTATCATTTTCATCTTCAGAACAATTTAAATGAGTGTATTTATAATTTAATGTCAATCCTGAATCTACTTTTAAATCTTAGCAACTTTTCCTATACTTCATTTACTGACAGTTTTCTTCTAGTCTGCTTTTAAACTCACAACTGACTATGAATAAAAAGGCTACTAGGTTTTTTATTTTTTATTTTTTCTATTTCCCTCTAGGAATGGTTACCAATAATGCAAAAACAATGGTACTTCTTATGCAGTGAAGGGGAAGATAAGCCCAAATGTAAAGCAAACAAACAAACAAAAAAGCACAACGTTGAATATTCAGATACGGATACACGGAGAGGATAACAGAAGGAATGCATCAGTGGAACAGGACTAAGTCCTCACACAATTTCTGTACTAGTCTAACAATCCAAGCACGAGGCTTCAGAAATGCAGAGCATTGCTACAGGACTTTTATAGCTGCATAGGCAAAGTCTGTGCAAGTCTGTCTAATGGATTCTGAGTTTTTGTTGTTGTTGTATTTATGTATACACCTGCAGAAATTACTAAAATGTATGTATTTGTCTTCAGGTTCAAATAACTAAATGCTACAGACTGAAATACTTAATCCTAGCAGAACATCCTTTCAGAATGCCTTCTGTCTGTGAAAGTCAGTCTCCAAAGAATCCATTCTAATGAAAGTTTACAGTAAAAAAAATGTATTCTAGCTTTTAGTACAGTCCAATTTTAAGTCTGATTCCAAAAAAGACAGTGCTGAAATACAAAACCTTGGTAGTGTGGATCAGCAGGATGAATCTTCTGAAGGCTGTAATTTATTCTTGATGCTAAAGAAGCTAACTAAAGATACTGTAGATAAAAACATATTTTGTATAATAAAGTAAAATTTCAAGGTTTTTGCCATCTTTGAATTAACTGCAGTGACAGATAATGAGACATCAAAAGGAAACAGATGCTAGACTCTAACTCAGTACACAGTGGAGGTTCCTACCCATGTAGTACAAGAGCACGTATACTACACAAAAACATTTCCAGAGGATATTAAAGCCGCGTGATTGAACTCCCAAATAAAAAGACATAATTGTTCTAATGCAGTACTCACAATCCTTTTTGCTCATATTTATCAAAGCACAATACTATACTCCACTATCACATACAATTTATTACATATAATCCAAAATTATCAGCAGGTTATCTTATAAAGAAATTGTCACCAACACCACACAAAAGCCAGAAATACATACAAAAAAGCTAAACAGTGGCATATTACAGTAATTGGATTGACTTTCTGCCATCATCTGTACAACATCTGAATGGAAAAATTATGTTCATCCCAGAAAAAATATCTCTTGCCCTGGCTTCCTGACAGTGTGTTAGTGTTGCTATAGTTCACATAGCTGAGACAGCTGTCTTCTTCAAACTTAGAGAAAGGAAGATTTCCTTTGGTATATTAAATAATCAGGTCATATCAAACCAAATCCTACAGAATCTAAAACGAAATACTGCATTACATGACAGTCTGTCAGTGGCATAAACATTAACATAATAGGGGCTGCTTAGGGTAGAAAAATGAGATGGGAAGAAACGTCCTGAACAGAGAGATTAATGAAAATAGATAAATAGGAAACCTAATTACATCTCCTAAATAACTAAAGTATTCATGCCATCCAGAAATGATGTATTATTTGACTATTTCTACTACTAAGAATAGTACTAGCATTCTTCAGTAGAAAGTCCAACTCTAAATCTGTATTTCTGTCCTAATTACATGTTTATTTCTTGATTAAAGAAGCATTTTTAGTCGTAATAGTACATAATTACAGACTTCATTTCAAGCACTTACAATATGGTTCATTTTAGATTTTTGCTTACCTCCTACTGAATAAATGTTTTAAAGCCAAAAATAATTTGCATATTGAAAATGAACTGTTCTATTTCTCTTGGGGAAATTCTGGGTACAATAAATAGTGAAGGAATCCTAAATATCAAAAAGGAGAAAAAACTGAATATTGTATCCAGCTGAAACCCTGAAAATTTGGCCATTCAACTGTATTTTTTATTTTGAGCTTTTTAGGGTGAAATGGACCTGACAGTAGAGCTCAAATGTGTATGTGAACTTGCAAAGAACTGGATTTGATTGTCTACAATTATGCCTTTCAACACTTTTCTACAAATTTAAATACAGGGAAGTGGAAGACTGATAAGGATATACACTTGTGCTAGCTATAAGGCTCTGCTCTTTTCCTATCCTAATTTTCTCTGTTCTTGAGTCTTTTTCTGATTTCTTTTTTCATACTCTCCATTTTTTACCCTCAATTCCATGTTTTATTGGACACTTTCTCTATTCTGCTAGATCCCTAAATAACTTCCACCTCAGCCCAGCAGTTAATAGCAATAAAACTCTTGATAACAAACAAGAATCTTTCAAAGGACAATACCATTCTCATTCTTGTGACCTCAGGAGAAGACAATAGTATCTTGTGCTTTTTGAACTATAAATTCAAGAAGCGTAAATGGCAATACATTTAGTTCACAGCTTGAAGAAAAGATTCACGAGCTGAAAGATCATTTAAAAAAAATAATAAATTACTAAAAGATTAATTCTCCTGTGCCCATAGAAGACAGCAAAGATAACTACCTGATATCTGTGGTATCTCCAGGGAGAAAGAAACTCGACTGAAATTAGATCAGTGTAAGTAATTTCCTTCCTGCATATTACGTAAACAGTAATACTGAAGCAACAAAGATTCTGAGAGGCATGGCACAGAATTACAACTTGAACGAAACAGTGAGCTAACATAATCAATTTCAGATCCTGTTCTGATGTAGTGTTGTGACTTATGCAGTACTCACTTGGTTTTTGCTAAATTAATCGGTGGACAGATTCACTCTATTCCATTATTCCATTTGGCATCACAAAAAGTAATTAAAGAAACCTAAACCCTTTATGCACCATAAAACTACTGAATAAACTCAAAAGATTAGGGGAGAAGAGTTTTATATTGGAATAATAAATGAAGGGTTTTTCTGATACAGCCAGTGCTTGGGGGGTTTTGCTTCTTGTCTGTGGGGATGAAAAAAATAATAATCAAAAGTGTCTGAATAAATTACCAATCTTGCTTATGGCAACAGCCTTCTCTCCCTAAGCATTAATACATTTCATAATAGAACACATACATAAAAAAGAACATGCAAATGTCTTTGAAGAGTGCAACAGGATTTCCCCCCCCCCATTTTCCTGTACTTGGAATAAAACTAATTTCTTAATGTTTTGGAATATTCTGCCTCTTTTCTGGCATTCTCTGAAGTCCGTTCAATGCTGGAATTTTCAAGGAAAAGGGTAAAACCAAAGATCATACAAGTTACTCGTAATTTGGGTATCATCTGAGAAGTCAGTGAATGGTTTGTAATTAGGATTAGAAAATAAGGCCATTTTATTTCAAAAATTATCACATATTCAAACCACAGTTTATCACTGGAGTTTGTAAATGAGATATTCCAGCCTGTCTAACGTTATAGCTTATTAGTAGATTGCACCTTTCCCACTTAATTTTTTCATCAGCTTGCTGCTGCATCACAGTTCTACTAACCTCTCTAGAATTCAATACATTCTCCTTCACTCTCTAGTGGTTGCTTTGTAAAAAGTGTTTTTCTCTGAAGAAAGCACTCAAAACAGAGGTGTAGTGGAGACTCATTGTAAAGGTACTGTGGAGCAGAGTATATCTCTGAAATCACAATCTGTCCAATAAAGCCACTCTTCCCAAATAAATACTTGTAAAGAAAACTTCATGTAAACTGACTTCAACTTAGTCCCCAGCGTAATTCATAGACTGTCATGAATAGGTTTTTAAACAGGTTTGAGGATCACAACTCACATGCTGACAAATACCAGCAAAGGAGAAGGGTAATTCACACAGGGGGAAATCTTTGGTCACAGAGATGACTTTAGAAATCCCCCACTACCCTGCACTAAGTCTCCTGTGAGTCACACCATGCTCAAATCTTTAAGTTGCTGTTTTAATTGAAACAAATTCTGTTCAATCACTGTGTTAAACTGGCTGATGATTAAGTGCCAATTAACTGCTGTTAAGAATCATATGATCTAATCTCATGACTTACTAGAAATAAGTATTAATCAATCCTAAATTATTGCTAAAGTAAAGATTTTTAGAAATCTATTCACAGCATAGACAGGACGCTTGTCTGAATTGCATACACTGCAATTCATCTAGTGCCTGTGAATG